TTTTACTTTCACTTTGGAGATTTGCGATCGCACGTGCTCTGTGTAAACTACAGCGGCAGTACTTACCACACATTTTACAAGATCAGATGCTTGTCAGTGGTGCTCAGGATCTGTAAATCATTCGCCATCATCCTCAGTCATCTCTCCTTACTCTGTTTATGTGGTAAGTGAAATCGTATGTACTGTAATGTAACAGGCTACCGTTAGCAAGCAGCTAACCATGTCCCTTTAGTGACTCACTTTATTTTATTAGAACGCGCGTTATTTGTTTTCTGTGCCTTTCTGAATACAGACACCAACCCATACCTGCACATCACATCCCCTGCACAGCCTGGAACATAATATTTATTTCCATGATCTACCATTTTCGTTATTATCCTTGCTTGTTTCTTCACAATACCTGCAGAACTTGATTCGGCTGTGCAGGTTCGGCTGGCGGCTGGCATAGAACATGGGCGGGTATATGCAAATGTTGGGGGCATAATATTAGTGATCCCGACTGTAATGTCACAGTCAGTGTTATGTTCTGATTCGGCTGTTTTTCAGTGGTATTTTGCATGCACGAGATTTACATAAGAAGGAGGAAACAATGGTGTTTGAGGCTCACGGTATGTCATTTCCATGTACAGAACTGTTATTATTCAACTATGCCAAGGTACATACAGTTTTCCATTCTATGGCACCTTTAAGGGCGTAGTATAAGTAGTCACATTGGGACGCAGCAACCCTATGGGGTGAGCCTGTAGATCAGCAGGTGTTTTGGGAGGAAGGCGGCAGTTTTGGCAACACTGGACTGTGACTGGAGCACTGATGGCAGTAAATGATGGTAGCTCTGGTCAATGTTCCCTCTGAGCTGCGCGCGTGCGCGGCCGCGCACTTCTTGCACCGCGGCGGCGCAGAAGAAATAATGTGCCGCGCACACGCATAAATGAGTTGAGAAAGCCATTTGTGAAAGCGAATGAATTGCAATGCTCGGGTAAACCGCTATAGAGTTAGAACCGGTGAATGCGGTTTACAGGGTTCATGGAAAGAGAATGATGTGCGCCAAATGAGTCGCTGTAGAAACCGAATATTTTAATGGTTGCGGACGACGTAGTTCAAATCGAGAGCCAACGCAAACGCAATGACATGTGAAATAAAACGTCATCATGCATTAAAGAAGAGTGACTTGATTAAGTGCTTGAAATTGCGGATGATGGACACAGAACGGTAACAAAACTCAGAGACATTTACAGTCACACACAGGTGTATTGTGCAAACTGTACTTCATAGGGATGTTTAGATAGCTATAGAAGAATTCACGTTCACGTTTTTTTTTATTTTATATTTTATATTTATATTTTAGTTTAAATGCTGAAGTTTGTTTTGATATTATATTATGTTAGGCCTATATTATAAACCTAATAAATAATTGACCTTGTTTTTTAATGTCTCTTATGCTTATCAAGGATGTATTTATTTGATCGAAAATACAGAAAAAAA